ATTCATTGTGTTAAATTGGCCTGGAAATTCACCAGACTTAAATATGATCGAAAACTTGCAGCACATTCTCAGGGGTCATCTTAGAAAAACATTAGAAAAATGGATTATACGACAAAAGAGTGAATGATTAAGGATGCTGTAAAAGTGTGGTTCTATGATAAAGAAATAGAAAATATAAACACAAAACTAGTAAAACTCAATCCCTAAGAGCATTCTAGAGGTCATTTTTGCTAAGGGAGGATATATTTCCTATTAATTTTATTATTATCACTGTATATGAAGGTACGTGTACATTAATTATCAAAAACGCCACTTTGTCCCAATTAGGTTGCACGCTATAGTAGTTATAAGATATTATAAAGCACCAAAATAGCATGCGAAGTTTGCAATCTCCCATATAAGCAAAAATAAGCACAGATACATCTCAGAGGAAATTTCATCATGTTTTCAGTACAAGAGATACCTTTTTTTCCAAGCCATAATCAAATCTTTCAGAAGTTTGAAAATATTAAAATGCAATGGATTTCTGATGTTATTATTTAATACACCATACAATGTCTGAGATAAAATTGCAAACTTTCTTTCTACACATATCCTGTTGTCAATTATACTGTAAAATAGTACTTAAATTGCTTCATATTACGATATTAATTTGATTTTTTTACATATTTTGTATTACATTGTACAAATTAATGCTGTCGGAATTTGACTAAAATTATTAATATTTTATCATATATATATATATATATAGATAGATAGATAGATATAGATATATATATGTTGTATGATCTAAATTCACTTAGTGCGAAATCGGTTATTCTACTACTTGCGCAATGCTGCAAAGTAAGTTAATAATAATTTATTTACTAAATAATATTGATTATATTATAATCAATATTATTTAGTAAATTTAGTAAATATTATTTAGTAAATATACAGATAATATAATCAATATTATTAATTCTAAATTAATATTAGTAAATAAATTATTATGTATATATATATGTATATAAAACTGCGTATCTTGCACTACGAGAAGCATTTCGATATTAGAGATATTCCTGAATCTCTCGTTACCAATTTCCAAGCATAGCCGAGCGCAAGACTTCATAGAGCATATTTTCAGGCGATGCAGCATAAACACATGATCATGAGATGGCACAGCGTTAGTGTCAACGTTCTGGCGAACGAAGCAGCAAAATTGGCAATAATTTGTCATGAAGGAAAAATTTTAGATGGGTCTCGGCCGAAATCTCATTTCAGTCGTAAATTTCTACAGAAACAACTATGGGAAGATGAATGGCAATTCGAAGAAACTGGGAAATGTCTATATTATCTCCTTCCACAAGTTAATACAGAACAAGCTTATTTTAATCGCCATATAAACAGGCCATGGCCCCTTCCCCACATAGGTCCAGGAAAGAAATATTGTATTTTTAGATATATAAATATGTGGGGAAAAGGGTAAGCCAAATCAATTCCTCAGCAGTTGTTCGCCAACAAGTAAATATCATATAAGGCTTCCAGAAACCAATATTTGCGAATATATCAATTATGCAATAAAAAATAAACAATTAAGCAAAAAAATAGACGCGATTATGAACTACCTCTCAAGTACAGGAGAGAAAACATGTGGACCAAACTAAATAGAAAACTGTATTATGTATTCAAAGTCAGCAGACTAATAATAGTTCTGTATTGTTAAATAATTGATGATTAGATAAGAGTTTCATATCTTGCACAAAAGAACTTTATGTAAAGAATTTCTGCATAAAGGCATGTTGCAGAGAGTAACTTTACATTGCATTATCTAGCTTCACATAATTGAAATTTTAATGAAACAGTTTCTATACAGATAGACTTTGGGTAAAGGAACAACAAAAAAAAAAGAATTATGGAGAGTATAGAACTTTAGGTAAGATAAAAAAAACTTTGCATAAAATTTTACATTAAAGAAATTTTGCATTAACTATCCTTTCAGATATTATGCACAAATATTTTGTACCAAGTGTATATTTGATTCAGACCACACATAATCATCCAGGATTCGTAAAAACAAATTTTTATAAGTTCGAAAGGCAACCTTCTTCCAAATCATCGAGAATGAGTAAGGCACCAACTGTTCTAAATTTTTCATAGATGCATAAAACATCAACTCCAAAACATTTTTCAAGATACTTTGTAAGTCTCTTGCTGGGTCTTGCGGTAATGAGTAATGTAAATACACTCATGTCCATAAATTAAGGATAATGCAAAATCAGGCAAAAGAAGAGTTAGAAGCAAACCAAATTTGACTTATTTCTAAAGCTTATTTATTAAACAAAAGGTAAAGAGCAAAAAAAGATGCTATATGTTTGATATTAGTAAAAAAATTAGCGATTTTTTCTCCCTGGAGCAAATTACAAAAAACCTATTTACAAAAAACCAATATTACATGGTTGGTATGATTGTTAATACATTGTATGTCTCCCAGACGATGCAATACAGTCCGTACAACGCCTAGGCATGCTGAGTATCAAATTATCGATCTAATCTTGGGGGATATAACACCACTCAAAAAGCAATGATCTCCGAAGTTCCGGTAGACATGTAGGAGGAGGTTGACTGGCTGCACCTCGTCGGCCAAGCATGTCCCACACGTGCTCTACTGAATTCAAGTCTTGTGAGAATGCTGGCTAGTCTATACGGGTGATATCCTATGATTGAAGGCATTCGCTTACGATGTTTGCACGGTGAAGACGGGCGTTGTCATCCATAAACACAAATTGCGCGCCCATGGCGCCCCGAAACAAACCTACATGTTGTTCCAGAATGATGTCCCGATAGATTTGGCTTGTCATGCTTCCAATTTGAACATGCAGGTCAGTTCTGGAACCCAGAATAATTCCACCCGAAACGAGCACTCCTGTACCACCGTAACGGTGTCGTTCAATGATGTTTTCTTGGTGGTAACGAGTACCTGGAGCTCTCCATATGAAAGGTCCGACGAGAATCAGACTGCAAGCTAAACCTGGACTCGTCAGAAAGCATCACACAAGCCCACTGCTGCGGTGTCCACAATGCATGCTCTCTACTCCAGGCTAACCGCAGGCGACAGTGAGTTGCAGTAAGTGGAACGCATCTGACAGGTCTGCGAGCATATAGACTAATCTGTCCTAAGCGTCTGTACACGGTCTGCCTTGAAATTGTCGTACCAGTGGCTGAAGAGAGCTGACGAGACAGGTCAGAGGCTGTGCTCCACCTGTTTCTTTGGCAGTAACTGCCAAATACAGGTCCTCATTCGGCGTTGTAACTCTGGGGCGACCTGTGCTGTAACGTCTACTCACATTACCGTCATCTTGGAATCGTTGCCAAAGCCTGGAGATGACACTCTGGGCAATTCCAAGTTCGCCTGATACTTCCAGTTGGGTACGCCCACATTACAGACGGCCGATAATTCTACCACGTAAAAAATCATCCAAATGCGTCCTTTGTGTCATAACTATTCGGTTATTGCACTGAAATGCTTATAAAGCGCCTGCGAACAATTTTACTTCTGTGCCTGTATTCCTTATATATCACTCTCTTACACTTTCGTCATTGTGACGTACCATTGGTGTCATCTGGTTACTTCCTGAAATTTGCATATGATTCTTGAAGATGTATGTAGTGATTTTACAGGTCATATATTTATTTTAGAGTTCGATTTCCGAGTGACTCCGAATTATCCTTAATTTATGGACATGAGTGTAGTTAGTGCGAATAAATTATACCCACATTAACTATGGATAAACGTTGGATGTACTTTGTACTTCTACACTGTGTGTACTTGATTCGAGATTGGTATTTTTTGCCTCATTTCACAATGCTTTACTCTTTTTTTAAGAAAATTTCATGAATATCCGTTTCGTTTGTTAAATATAAGCATATTCTTGAGATTGGTACCGTAAGAATATCCTGTATTAATTGCTACAGTAGCAAATGATTCTAATAAATAAAATTGTGTGTACTTCTTATCATAAGGGAAACCCATAACAAATTTGAAATTTGCGCGAAATATATGCCATGCTATAGATATGCAAATGATTAACATTTCACAGTTTGCGTACATTACAGGCAAGAATAACGAGACCGCGAAACAATATGAAAATGCAGACTGGAAATGCATTCCTAAACTACGTTTATTTTTATTTTTTCCTTTTCGTTTTTGGGAAAGGCCGCACTAAAGATTGTATTATGCTTTGCTTAAAAAGGGACTCACACCAGCACGTTTCAGAATTCGATCGCAGGTGAATCATAGCCTTCCAGGACTGCGGATTATCATACCACGCCAGTAAAATAAAATGACTCTTGCCGGAATTTGCAAACAGACGATTTCAGCAAGGACACACACAGCCAGCGAGATGCAGGATCTCAACGGCCACTATTATTTAATGGCCAAGATGATAGAGATTTTCCCCGTATCACAATTAGGGATAGTGCAGCCGTATCACTTACCCCAGATCAATAGATTGGGTATGTTGCACAGTAACAAGCATCCGCGCGAATTGCGCAACGTGCTACATACACAACGCCACGGATGATCATTACTCAGCAAAACGACCAATACTTCAGCTTTTTTTTTTGTCACTATAGCATAGGAATATGATGGAGAGGTTTAATATGATGGGGCGTTCAGTGTGATGCACACGGACGCATACATGGACATCATCTTTTCTGACTAATCCGTTTTTGCTTACAGCAGCATGATGGCCGTTTCCGTGTGTAGAGTACGTTTGTTACCCCTTTGCGTCTATATTTTATCTCTCACTTTATTTTACAACCTTTCTGCTTTTTATATATGTTCAGATTGTCTTCACGTAAGCATACAATTACTGAATAAAACTTCAAACTGTAAATACTGCTGTAGTGTTAAGTATTAAATCTGTTTATTAAGTAGAAAGTAAACAATATCCGATAGTTTACAACTCTTCGAAAAAAGAATTTATGTTACTTAACTCGAAACGGATAAATAACTTCACCTGTAGAGTTCCGTTTGAAAGCTGCTGAAGCATAACTAAGGAATGCCAACAGATAAAAGAAAGAAGAAAGAATTTCAGCCCGTCCCACAACTCCCGTCACCTGCAAGAAAAGTAAGTTATATGTATATTTTATATGACATGTAAAATAGCAATCAAACCATTCAAATACATTTTCATGCATTACTTAATATTGTGGAAATAATACGTGGTAAATACTAGGCAAGCGTTAGGACAATTGCTATCCGTGTGGTGGTAATGGAAACAGCTTTATCATCAAAACCGAGTTTCAAATCCATTGTAAGGAGTGAACATTTGTGATTATCGTGTCTACGTAGAGTAAAGTCATGTAAAATTTGTCGGAAAGAAAGTTCTTTAGAGAGAATGGTGGTGGGGAAACTTGGTAAATGAACTTGATAATATAATCTCCAGAAATAGTTTGGTAAACAACAAGTAAGTTATTAATTAAAATTTGTACTAGCTTCTTTGGTGCCTAAATTGTCGAAAAAAATATACCCATTCTCCCCCCCCCTCCGGTTCAACTAAAATTGTTAACTGGTTGCCTTAAGTTCAAGAATTACTCCTAATGTATATATTCTAAAAGAAATTTCGTAAAAATGAAGTAATACATTAATTTGTTTCTGTTAGCTGAACATTGTAACGTTTCTGTTAGCTGAACACTGTAACATGTATAAATATACAACAAAATAATTCTAAATGCTAATTTTATCATAAACTTGAGAGTGAAGTGCGCGATTTTAAAGTGCGTACCTGCTTTAAATTTGCATTTGCTATAAACAAAGAAAAAACACTGTTTTAGTATTTATACTTGTTTCCGTTGGTTTTCAAATGATTTCTGAAGCATTATTTGACTGCGTACTCACAAAAGAGAATGTTGAGTATTGTTATTATGCAAATTGTACAGCTGTTTACTGACTCTTATAAAACATGGTTACAGATATTCCATTGAGTATTCATGTATTCTCTCTCTGCAAAATAATCAGAAAATAAGCTTCCCTAAAGTTTAAAAATGAATACGTCCAAGCAGTGATTCTCGTACGTTTTTTTGTGCAGGGTCTCAGACTAATGAAGCAATAATAGTCTATTTCTTCAAACAAACGGGAATGTCTAACATTTTTATGGTTCTGAAGATCATAGCACGTGGAAAGGTAGACTGAACAGTGACGATAGCGATGACTTGAAAGTATAAAAGACGGCGCAGAAAACCATTTCCAGCAACACTAAACGATTTGAAGCAACAGGAGAGACAGTTGCAGAGTAGCAGTTGACAGCAACAAGAGAGAACGAGATTCAAGATACAAGAAGTAGAAATGAAGATACCTTATCAGATTTTGTGACAGTATGATATCTGGTATTTATATTAGCTTTGCAACCTATCACTAGATGTTTATTAAGTTTCTTCTATTCCGTTATTTAACCATTTATTTTTGTTATGTTCCGTTATTTAACGTTCGTTTGTTGTTGAACTGGCCTATTCCTTCATAGCCATATGGCAGTCTTCGCTTGCTAGGTGGGCTGGGGGGCCAGTGCTTAGAACTAACTACCTTATTAGCTATTGCAAATGTTAATGTCAATATGTCATTACATTGCAATGTAGGTTTCCTTTAAATAAATAATATTCTGATAGTTACCGATAGTTTATTCAGGAATCCTTTTCATTCGTTCTGTTTTTACTGTAACAGCGCTCTCTGAAAATTAAATTATTCGCATAATTTACCGCTCTCAATATTCGTACAGTAAAATTAGTAAAAAAAAAAAAAGAAATGCGGACACAACATGACTTCCTTGTAAGGCCTATTAAATTATACACATTTTTTGCTGCATTTCATTTAAATTTATTTCCTCGAATTATTCCAACCGATCTGTCAAGACAAGTTGAAAATGACATCAAAAATTACAAATTTTGAAGTTAAATATCCTGAGGAATTTTTGTCGTACGAGAGTCAAACTTCTTACGGTTTTATTTTTTCATAACGAGTATAAATCTTTCCCAGTCATATGTATAGGGAAACGGGGAACAGCATTAAAAGTTAGATAATGTTACTTGCCGAAAAGTATATTTTCTTTAATTTTACATTGGCAATACGGGAATATTTTCGTCATTTAAAACACTTCTGCAATTGGAAGGATTTGACTACAACCAACGATTGCGAAAATAAAGGCCGGGTAAGGACTTTTAAGCCGGGTAAAGCGGGTAGACATATATATATATATATATGGTAGGCTGTTTGAAAAGTTCCTGATCTAACAAAGGAAAAAGATACCTTTTTCTCTAAACGTACCTTTATTTTTCGACATAGTCTCCCTGCAAGTCTATACATTTCTTCCAACGATGCTCTCCTCCTTTTAACTCGCTCAAATAATATGTGGAATCTTTCTCTGTAATGGCTCCTCATTTAACGAAAATCGTTGTCCTCCAAGTGCTTCTTTTAGCTTACGGGAAAAAAAAAGTCACTTGGTGCCGTGTCTGGCGAATAGGGCGTGTGTTCAAGTAGTTCAAATCGTAATTCATGGATTTTCACCATTGCAACCGCTGAGGTGTAAGATGGAGCATTGCCTTGGTGAAACAATTTTTTTTTTTTCAATTTTTGCAAATGTAGCCGTCTTTCCGTATTTCTGCCTTCATCTTTTTAAATAGCGTTGCATAGTATGCTCTGGTAATGGTTTTTCCTTTTGAATATTTTCCTTTTCAATATAATCTATTCAAACAGTCCCATGACTGTCCCAGAAAACTATTGCCATCACTTTCACAGCACAAGGAACAGTTTTTGCCATTTTTGGAGCCGATTCTCCCTTTGCTGTCCACTGCGTTGACTGTGTTTTTGCTTCTGGGCTGTAATGATGAATCCAGGTTTCATCTGTAGTGATTAATAGTCGTAAACATTGAGATTTATTGCGCCAACAGAACGATGCAAATATTCATTCGGACACGTTTTCGGTCCAAAGGGAGCAAACGCGACACCTCAATGAGCAGCCAGCTTGCAAATATCCATATCTTGGTTTAATATGTGACAAACACGTTCTTGCACATGCTAATGGTTTCTGCTATCTCTCTAACCTTGATTCGATGGTCATCAACATCATTTGGTGGATTTTAGCGAAGTTTTCTTCATTGGTTGCAGTTTTTGGCCATCCTGAACGTTCATCGTCATCCAAGTTGGTACGGCCAAGTTTAAATTCAGTTGCCCATAATTTCACAGTAGTAAATGATGGTGCAGAGTCCCCGTACACTGTGTCTAACTCCTCTTTAATCTGAGTAGGCGTATAACCTTTCAAAAATAAACATCTAATGATAGCACGATATTCGATTTTGTTTTCCATTTTTGCAGAAACAGCCACATCAACTCACAAAAGTAATTGTCAAAACAAAACCTTCGCGTTCAAAATAGCTGAAATTTTGATTCGTCGTTATCAAGTGATGTCGAAACAAGTACCTCCATTTCGACTGACTTGAGTTGCCGTCTACAAATTGAGGTCCGAAACTTTTCAGACAGCCTACATATACATTCGGTACTAGCGATTACAATAAAAAGGACACAATTAGATGTTTTAGCTGTCTCATATGCAAAACTATAACGTTTTACGTCCATGCCAAAACATCGTCCAAATGGATTCGGCAACGGTCAAAATGGATATTTCTGTTGAAATATGATACTCGAAATTTTTCGCGAATACAATAATTCCTTTACTTCACACAAGGAAGCATAAAGGGAAAACTACACGAGTAAATACGACACTTGACTACATATTATCTCTTGCAGATTGCCGTGGACAGCCATATGATAATGAAAACAACTGAAAGATGAGGAACATGGAATAAAGCAAGTTTTCTTCAAGAAAACTCAAAAGCTCGTTACCTACTTTGTTCTTCCCATATCATGAATTTGGTTATGATGCAATTAAATTTTCAAAATATGCATTCAGGTGGGGCAAAGATTGTTAAGTTTATTTTCTACATCTCTGGCGCCCTGAGATATTCTGTGTGCATTTGAGGCTAAATCTCTCTATGAGCGGCACAGATATAAGTGCATTAAATTCTATTCTGCATGTTGCAATCATTTGTGCATCGTTATTTTAGTATATCCACAAAATCGAAATTAAACATATTTTCTTAAATGTGTCAATTGCAATGAAAATTTGTTTATGCATATGAGTGTCTATAGACCCAAATCACGCAGTTTTCCAAAGCTAAATCTAGTTAACAAAAATTATTTGCAAACTTCAGTGAAATAAGTGTTTAATTAAGAGGTATTTCTGTAATAACAGGAGAAAGACATAGCAAGTTGATATAGTTTATAAAGCAAGTAGACGTAGCATGTTGATAACTACGCCTTTTGAAGTAAATGTTTATGACAATAATTGTAAAATTTAGAGAAAAATTTTAATAAAATTTTTAAAATGTTAAAAACAATTTTAAGGTATAATTTGTAAGTTTTAAATTTCTAAAATGTATGATAAATTGAAGTTCATGTTTGATACGTTTTAAAATTCTACATGTTGAAATAGTTAAATGTGTTGTTATTTTGAACTAAGTGAAAACATACTAGATATCTCACATTTCTTTTACCGAACATATTATGTACTATAGTCAATATTATAGTGCAGCTTTATTGTCTTTAATACATTTGCACTCTGTTAATTATGAAAACCCATATTATTTTAAAAATAGGTAGTATAAAAAAATTACGTAAGTACTCAGAATTTGTTTTTGAAATGCAAGGTATGACAAAACTGTTCAGTCAATATGTTCATAAATAAAACACAGTAAATCAGTAACTTTATATTTTTTAACTAAAATTCGTTGCTTGAAATGCATCGTTGACGGCGATTCTATGGTCTCTAACATCACGGACAAAATCTTCTTTCGATATCCCATGGAAAACCCTCGTCACTTGGTTTTGAATGTTTGAAATATCTGAAAGGTCGTTCTTTCTTTTTAGGACTCTTTCAAGAGCGGGAACAGAAAGAAATTTGCTAGAGTAATATTCGTATTTCCTCATTTTATTCCTTTTTATTACTAATCTTATCGCTCGAAAAATCGAGAGGGAAAAATTATGCGAATAACTTTATTTCCGAAGTATACGGTTACAGTAAAAACATAATAAATAAAAGGAATTCAGGGACAAACTGCAGGTAACTATCACAATATTACTTATTTAAAAGGAGCCTACAGTCCAATAAAAATACATAATTGTGTTAAGATTACAATATCTAATAAAATATCTTCATTTTATTCTTCCTTGTAACTTAAATCTCGCCCTTCTATTGTTGTCAAACCTTAAATTATACATAAATTAATAATTAAAAGTAAATGTGCAACTGACTCGGCGAAATCATAGGTTGAATGTCCGTTGTTTAAGTTGAATGTCATTCGTCCTTAGAAGGGAAAGGTTAGGCGTGATCTTCGCAGATAGTTTGCAAGGGCTGCTCCATTTTCAGTCAACCCTAACAAGGATGTATTACCAAAACTTGAATGTATTACGAAACCAAACAGAATAAAAACCGCAGTAAACTCGCAGTTTAATAATTGATTTTTAATTATTTTTCTGATAATATTTTCACCGTAAACCTGATTAACTAAAAATGGTTTGTTGAGTAGATAGACTTGTCAGGAGACGTATGTCTCTTCACTTGCTTCGGGAACATACTGTATCCTGAATAAGAACAGTGAGCTTACTAAAGCTCTGTTCCAGATTGCGTGGAATAGACGACACAAGCAGGAAAGGTATACGAAGCCCTTTATTCTCTATTACTTTACAGATACTCCCGAACTTCGGGATACAGAGACCTACCACTTGTGGTCTGAACTTGAAAATATAAAACTATTAACTAAAACGCTAACTAAAAGCTGACTTTGAATTAGTATACAAATGCCTAGCACTAAGACTGGCCTTTATTTAAAAGAGTACGTATGTAGTACTCCAAGCTGCTGAAACTACAATACGTTTTCAACTATCAAGAGGGCTAAGCCTCTGGCCTTAAAGGCAAACAGCAACCGAATGAAAACTCGTAAGCCTGCAGTGGCAAGCGGCTCGCTTCCTAAATCTCCTTCTCTCTCTCACTATTGGCAAAAAGCCACAACTTAAATACTTGGGCGTTAGCAAGACAATTTGCATAAACAAGTTAAAGCATTTAATTCTGGCCGGAAGTAGAAAATAAAAAGTGATAGTACAGTTTTAAAATAAAATAAACGTTAGTAAAACTTAGGATCCTTACAGACTTAATCAGCTTATAATACTACCAGAAGAAAAGAAAAGGGGGGAAAAGCAACTTTATTAAACTAGAAATTAAACTTTGTAACCACTTTAATAAATTTAAGTTGGATGACTATACTTTAATAGTTAATTATGAGATTATCCGAACATTCACATACTTATCTCGCTTCGCGACATTTGTTGATAATTTGATTTAAAAAGATAAGAAAATTATAGGTTCCACCTATCTTGAGCACCCGAAAAAAAGTGAAAAAAAAAAGAACCGATCGTAATCTCATCGGAATCGTTTCCTGGACTTTTTTCTCCCTAGCCTACGATGCGTGAAATTGAATCAAAAATCTTTCCCGATGTCATTACAGGCATTCCATCGGCTAAGGTTTCATGGATTTGAAGAATTTCTTTCGTTGGAGTTAGAAACAGAAAGAATATTAGCAGTTTTAGAGAAGAATTATATATTTTCGTTAGTGGTATGAATATTTGTTTGTATTTAATTCGTATCATTAAGCGGCATTATTACAACTGATCCATCGGATTTCAAAACGTTGTATTTCTAAATTACAGTAAATACCAAAATGAGTAGCTTATGAAAATGAAGTAAGAATCATTCAAATTCTAATCCCAGTACTAAAAATGTTTGATCTGCGCACATTTCGTTATACGATACATGTTCAAATTTATTGTATATCTGTCTACATGCAAATCTGTTTACATCAAATTTCCTTTCTGTTTAATGTCATGTAATCGCCGAAAAATGTAGGAAGAACCAGACCTACACCTTCGGTTTTGGGCTAGTCAGTTTTCACTGTACCTTCCAGGCAGACAGAATTGTAAATATAGTTTTCAAAACTCTCACGTTTGGCCAAGAAACTAGCATATTTCAGTTTGACGACATGTTGGTACTATTTCGTAAAATCCCTTAAAATTTGATTAGGCATATAGCCCTCAAAAACTTTGCGATGCTAAAATAAAGCATGCCAAACCAACCTTCAAATTTGGCGATTTTTGAATGTTAACGAATAATTCTTATTTTAAATTCTTTAGGATCAATAGAAGTGGAGTTAATAGAAAACTTTGAAACTCATCTTCTGCTGCTTTCTTTCTGGTGTACTCCTCTAAGAAAACCTGAATTACGTTGATTAGAAAATTAAGTAAACAGCAACTTTGCGTTGTATTTTTGGCAGAAATTGGCACTCCAATGCGAATGTGCAACTATCATTGGCTTGTCTTAATTTTTTGTTATCTGTTTTATTTATGTTCTGTTAAAAATCTCCTAAGCCTGAAACGTGTCTGATTTTATATCTAACAGAAGTTAACGATGGTTGGGGGACAATACTTGGTAACCGTTAGTAGTGCCTTAGTATGCCCCTCCATCTCCAACTGAAATAAAAGACGATGATTGACATTTAAACTCTATTTACTTTCGTTCTACATTTTCCAGTGATATTGCTTCCGATGTTTTTGAATTTTCAATTTGAATTTACAACAATTTTAAGCAAGATGATTAGGATTAGTGAGGGAAAAGTTAATTCTGTCTAGCATTGATCACAGAATTATGGTCATCTTTGACGCAAAATTTCCAAATATATATACGTGATAACTTCTTTAATTTACTGGATTGAATACAACTGGTTACTATAAATACTAAAAAAATTGAAGAGGCATTTTTAGACGAATATCTTTTTTTGTGTCTTTGTGTCGGTGTAGAAAAGACTATCACAAAGACTGAAGACTTACCAAGTAACTGAAACTAGACATACCGGTGTGATAGCTCAACGACTTTGTTAATTATTATTTCATATAGACCCAGGTTCTAGTTGATGAATAAAACACCCGAACTTTGCCATTTGCTATGAACATACAGTTTATGCGGCCCTTCTGCATTAATAACAGTACATTAATGTAACAGTATAAATATAATACAGTACAAAGGTATTGTAGTACAGGCATAAAAAAGCAGGATGATCGGACTATAGTAGTATATATAGACTATAGTATTTTCCTCACATTGCGAAAGAAAGACGCTGCCTACAGCTATCTAACTTTGAAATTTCAATTTTAATGTTCCCCACTCGAACATGCGCACCTGGAAGACCGAATTTTAAATTTCGAATTTGTTTTATTATTTATTTCATAGTTTGTAAAACTTAACTAAATTTTTAATTAACAAAGATTTGAAAGTGAGCAGTGGCAACACTGTGTGGAATAAAATACTTTTATATCTCCAGCATGCGAGACTGTCTATCGAGAATTCTAAACATATGCTGTTTTTTAATATTTTGTGATTTTGCTGTTGAATTGAATTTACGTGGCATAAGCTCGAAGAACGTGGTATTTAATAAACGAAGTTAACACTTGAAAAGTTAATAAAATGACAAAAAAAATATTTTTGTTAGATATCTTACTAAGAAAACTGAATATTGATGTGGTAAACTAAGAAAAGATTGAAAATATATGCCACACCATTTAACATAAAGAACTACAGAAAGATTAAACTATATGCCACACCATTTAACATTGCATTCGGAATTTTAAACATATACTGTTATGCAGCTTAAAAGTTTGTGATTTTGTTCTTGAAATGTATGTGGCATAAGTACGAAGAAAACAATGCTTACGATAAAGTTAAAATAAAGGGTGGGTTAGTAAGCGTGAGTATACGAGAAGACGGGTAGACTACGAGCCCAGTGAGAGGGTAAAAAATCTTAACAAACCGTCTTGAGCGACCGCTAATAATATCTGAAATCTCTGTTTTTTTTTTTTTTTTTTTTTTTTTTTTTTTTTTTTTATGTGCATTATTTATTTTCCTCATTATGGCGATAAATCCACAGAAATCGTTTTTGCACTGAAGTGTCTGCTTGAATAATTTGCTGATTTATATCATAGATCTTTACTTATTTACATTTTTAGGGCAATAAATCTTAGGTGATGCATTTTGCTATATCGTAACATGTAAATTTTGCTGTATATTATGATACAAGTGATTGACATATGACATACGGTTGCTATAAATATAAGAAAATAAGAAATCAATAGAAAGCAGCCGCCGGTGAGAACAGCCCAACGTTTCAGAAAAAAAAATGCAGCAAAAATTGAAAATATTCCAACCATAGATAATTTTTATCGTCATATTAATACAAATAATATGTACTACATTACCCCTTTTCCAAGATCGGGGCAAAATCTTCAAAGCATATACATATGAAACCCCGGGAACGTTACATACATGTGCTGAGAATTTTATACGGAATACTATTATACAGACGAATGATGTTAAAGCTAGTAATACTTACCGCTTCTGTATGCAGAGGGTGGACGGCAAAAAGCATGGCAGCAACAAATGCTGTTCGTTCTGGCACTATAATAGCACACATCCTAAGAGAAGAATATAAAAATGTATCAATAATATTCTTGAAAAATTATTGTTCAAAATGAAACTTGTCCATAAGCACTAAGAAGTTTGTTCATATCTTCGATTTCTATTCATTACTCAATATTAGCAGTAGATTAAAATATAAAATCTTAACCGCATGGATTACTCTTTTATCTCTGTTAACCATAAACTCTGCTGAATTAAACTTCAATGCCAGCTGAATTGATATGGGTGAGCATAAGTTTGTTGTCATCCTTTTCTCGTATAAACCTTTATAAAATTATCCGTTAATTCTCACATGCTGACCTTAAAATATTCCCATACCTACTTAGGCAAAGCTCTTATCGGATTAGCGAAGTGTTAAAAGTGGCAATGCACCATTACATTGGCTAACGGAAATTGAATAAACAAGGCGATTCAATGGATTTTCAAAAACGCTATAAGGTATTTCTCCCGCCTTCTTAGCATGACTTTGTTGTGTAGTAGTCTGCACGCTGGGAGAGTATTCCACAGGTCCGTGGTTTGATTCCCAGCAAGGGCGTTGCTCTTTTTTCATCACTCCTGCTTTAAAAATAACCTAATGGTTCTACAGTGGCGCCCTGAACTAAAGGGTGGTGAATGATGATTCTTCACCACAAGGATTTGGCGACTGGGTTCCCTAAACGACAATCGTCCTTTAAAAGGGGGAGTATATAAGGTATTTCTCCCGCCTTCCTTAGCATGCCTTCGTAGTGTAGTGCTCTGAACGCTGTACGCGTATTCCAGAAGTCCGTGATTCGATTCCCGCTGAGAGTCGTTGCTCATTTTTCCTCACTTCTGCTTTAAAAGTAACCTAATGACTCTAGAAGGCAAATTATAAATATTAGCGTACTATAACAGCAAATTCATGAGCTTTTTTATGCTCGATAGTAGCTGATGTGCCGGGTACTTCTTTCACATCTATGGCAAATGCGTACCTAGACTATATATAAATGCAAGATAAGTCTACCATCAACTGACGTTATGGTCTCTAAAAGCAATTCTTGCAAGTTCCTAAACCCTTATCGTTGGCATGTTTTTACTGCAATAAACAAGAATCACTTTCCAACAACTGACCGGCTGTTCAAGCGCTGATACCTAGACGCGTGCCAAAAAAGTAAGCGATGTTCTTTGCATCGTACTAGCTTTGACAGCTAAAGATCTATTTGAAGATCCTTGAAGATGCCAATCAAGTTAAACACTTTTCTTGGATGGCAGGACGTCATCACTAAGTATCTACAAACTGATAAAATGTCGCTAGTTCTAATGAAGCGCGATATAACTATTTCTAACAAAGGAATATGTACATGTTTGGTGTTATTGGACAATCTTACAATGTGATAATCTCTAGACAGCTGGTAGAAGTATGATGGTGAATACAATATCTTTAGTTGGCGTCGCTTTAGGCTATATTGGGAGAAATCGAAGAATTTCCTATTCGATATAAATTGTAAAAAGACATCATTAACATTCTGCGGCAAATTTATTCTACAGGTTCTGAAAACTTCCAATAAGATAATATGCTGCCACATCGGTCACGGGAGGGATGCATCGTGAAAAAACCTCCAAAGATCTTAAAACTGAATTCAACTGAGCATATCTGAGGTTTGAATAGTGAACTATTCATGAATAGGATCCACGATTATTCCACTTAACAGAACTGTGGACTTCTTTTCAGATTACATCACTTTCAGTATTTGCAAAATATTTCCAATCACGCGAGAATCTTTATAACGTAGCGAACAGAAGCTGTAATCAAAGCCAAAGGTAGGCTTCTGAAAAAGGTGGGCTATTTCTTCTAGCATTTCATTTCATATTTTCATTACATACTTTTATTGTAAATTAGTATACGTACATATTAGTTTTCAGAAGATTTTAAGTTCCAAAACACTGTGTTTAAAGTTACTGGCAAGTGAATAATTTAATAGAACTTAAAATACTACTAAATTAAACTTGCTGATTTGGTAAAATACATTCTTATGTTTGGCGAAATACTTTCAACATGATGACAACGAAAACATTTCCGAATATTTAACATCTTCTCTTCCAGCGTGTCATATATGATACATACTCAATTTTCTTCCCTTAGCCGATCATAATAAATGTGTTACGGAAGTGAAGTGTCAAAGACCCACCGTATCATTTTATATACGCAGAAATGGAGCTTTTGTCTGACATTTTAAATACGCTTAAATTATGTCAGAATGCTGCGAAACCTTATTGAATGAAATCGCTTAAATATTACCCTTGTTGTTACGAATATTATTTATTATTTTACTTTACGAATGAAAACCTGCGAGGCTTAGCATGCGCGTTCAGAATTTAGAAACGTTTCACGTAGTAAAGGACATAAAATTTTATATGTAAATATGACAATAAGATTTAACAGACACATATTTAAATTCATAAGATTTTTACTTTATTATTGACCTGAAATAATTTAAATATGCTAATACAATCATTATCCCTAATATTGCACATGAGTTCATTTTAAAAAATTTTACTTTAATTATAAGTATTAGAATTTTCTGTTTATATTACAAGAAATAACATATGCAAGAACGAAATATTTCGCTAAAAAAAAGAGACTTAATTACAAAACACGCTCGTGCACCACAGCGACTTTCAACGTTTCGATCGTACAGTGGGAGACTTAATTTTTTGACGCAGGCAGCAAAAGGGTTGATTAAGAAGCAGCAATCATATTTATAGGCAAATCAGTGAGAGGAACAAAAAGTAAACGAATATAGCGCCATCGTCAAGTAGATAATAGTTAAATTTGAAAAAAACTGCGATATTATGATTTTAAAGGCAAGGGAAGAAATGATTTGCAATAATATTGGAAGGATCTGAAATAAACATACTTTTTAATTTAGAAGGTATTTCTCCCGCCTTCGCACGCTGAAAGCGGATTGATTCCAGAGGCGCGGATCGATTCCCGGCGAAAGCGGATGCTCATTTTTCAATCTTGCTTGTTTCCAAAAATACCTAATGTCTCTACAGTGGCGCCCGAACTAAAAGGGTGTTGGATGATGATTCTCCACACCCAGGATTTGGCGACTGAGTCCCCTAAAACCTCAGTCGCCCTTTAAAAGGGGGAGTAGATAAGGTATTTCTTCTGCCTTCTTGGCATGCCTTCGTGGTGTGGAGGTCTGCACGGTAGGCGCGTATTCCAGAGGTTCGCGGTTCGATTCCCGGGGAAAGCGGTTGCTCATTTTCAATTTTGGCTGCTTCCAAAAATACCTAATGTCTCTACAAATTAATTATATATCTTGTTTATTTTGACATGCATTTGCGTAATTAGTTTGATTTGATGAATTTGTGTTCGAATTTTCCTCATAGTTACGATTCTTTGCAAGGTTTCCAATACATATTTATACAAGACTAGTACAAAGTTTTGAAACCATACAAAGTTAAGCTCTGTAGAATCCGTGCAGTTTTATAGTTGATAGATGGATAAATAAAATGAAGACAATATTCAGTCTTACCTCCCTGATATATGAACTGCAAAATGTATAAAATGCCTCCAGAAGGCAGTGCTGTGCAAAATGGGAAAAACCCGGAGTGTGTTCTCGCTTTGGAGAAGTGAGAGTTCCCGCCTTTGTGGCGAAGGTGTTGAAACAATTGTAGAGATGTGAGATAAAGCTACCGTCCTACACTTTATAAGAGTTTTCGAGTTATTGAGAAGTTGTGATTTATAATATGAACTTTCAGACAAGGTTATTAATATTATTTCTAACAGCGAAACGTCTTCTTTGATGAGAAGACAAAGTTTTTTTAAGCCTAATCAATGACCATAAAAGAAAACATTTAAAATTTCACAGATTCTGCAGACGTTAAACTATCAGGTCATTTTCTCACATATCAACAAAATTCGTTCTCCGATTTTTAAAGATTCCCTTTTCAACTTTGTTTCACAATTCTTGGAAACTTTATAGCATGTCTTGTCAGTGTAGTTTGAGATATATAGGTCAAACTAAAAGAATGGTGATATTTCGGACCAAGGAACACGCATCTTATACCCAAAAAGGAGAAATAAAGAAACCTTCGATAACAAATTTAGCTGGAAATTTATTCACAGTTTTGATTTGTTTGTGCTAAAATAAAGCTTCTTCAGTTGGCAAACTGGTTTTTCTTGACTTTTTTCACATTAGCAAAAATTAGATAATAACATAAATTTAATTCATTCTTTTCTAACGCCTCCAGAGTTCTAATATCGTAATGTTTCATGTTTCATTGTCATTTTTCTCAACAGATGGCGCTACATTCGATTTTACTTTATTACGCCTATTGCTTTCCAAATAAAATATGCTCCTCACATTTTGAAAAACTGTTTTTGTTCCAGAAGAAGAAGGACCTCTTTCTGATCGCCATCAAACTCGATAGAGTTTTATTCAAAATCTGCGCCAAAACAAATTTCTGCTTTGTCTAATTTTACATCGGCGTGTGTCTCTTGCAATATGAGATGAACCTATGTTTGATCATCCTCAAAACTGATAGAGTTTTACTAAAAGTCTATGCAGATTGGAAGTTGGTTTTTTTTCTCCTTTCAGATTTTTTAAGTAATCGATCTTTTTGAATTTATCAAACATATTTTTGCTCCTGACAAAGAAGAGCCTATGTCTGATCACCCTTGAAATCAATTACATTTTATTCAAAATCTCTGCTAATCTGTCGTTACTGTTTCACCTAATTTTAATTTCTACAATGAACCATTTAGCTATGGAAGGACTTCGAGGAATTTTTGCTCATTATACTTCTGCTTTACTACCAGAATTTGTTTAGTATTTTTCTTAATAATGCATGCAGATAAGACTTAATGAATCTCGATACATAGTGTTTCGTATAATCGAGGTTCTACTGGAGGAAAAGGCAATCAGTTTTTTTTAATTGAAACTAATAAGGTATATATTTCTTAAAATGTAACCATTGCCTTTACCTCCAAGTACAGTTCAGCAGCATTAGAACTTATGTTTCCACATAT